TTAGGTACGACGATTTTCTCGTCCTTAACTACTAAGTCGTAGGACTTATCCCCTCTGGGAAAGATTGCTTCTTGTAGTCGTTTGGCTTGTCCCTGAGGACTTCTTGATAACGTTGTCGTCTTTCTGACAATGTTCGATCTCGGGACGTAGAGAGGGAACTCAGCTAGGAAGTCTCTTCGTCTGCATCATGAGTTCAGCGATCTCGCTGCGTCATCCTGTTCGTTACAGCCGTCGTTGTTGGAGATGTAAGTCTCGAAACGCATCAGCGACGATGTTTGTTCGCCCTTGATGTAGTAGTTCAGGGCCGTATTCTTCCCAAATAAGGCCCATGCATTACGATCGTATAAATTCTGCTGTAAGATTCTTGTTGGTCCGTATGTACAACGATTTCTGTCCTAGAAGAATGTTAGGAACTCTTCAGAGTTTATACTGAGGAAGTTCCTTCTGCGGTAACAGGTGAACCGTGGTCTTGAGCAGGGTTGAGCCCTGTCTGGTGTAGTAGAAGCGCGACTAGGCCTCTTTCCCTTCTGGAAATTACCGCACCTAGTGAGTATCACTCCTATCCGTAGTAGCGGTACCTGAGATTCTTTAAGAATGGTGAGGTCGTCTGCCGAGTGCAAGGGCGGCTCAGGCCCTGGGAGCAAGGTTTCTTTGCTGATGATCTTCTTCATCTGGCTAAAAGTCTTTGTCGTGTTCCGCTTCCTCCACTTCGTTGTTTTGGAAGTCAACGAAGCGAGTGGGGCCAGTACATGTGATTGTCTAATCCACATGTCTCGATAGTATTCACTAGTCCAATGAATTCTACGGAGTTCTTCCTGTTTGGTAGGAGGAGCGATTCTTGATCGCGTCTATTTTCGGGTTATGTGGATCCCTTCTCGAGTGATCCAGTAACCTAGGTACTCAAGTTCTCCTCTTGCGAAGAAGGACTTGGTAGCATTGATCTTAAGTCCGGCTTCTCGAAGCCTTCGGAGAACTTCATCCAACTTTCAACGTGATCTGCTAGATCGCCGTTAGTTAGGATGAGTAGATCATCAATGTATGCACGGACTGTATTCAGGTCGTGCAATTAGTGTTCCCATCTTCTCTTGGAAGATGTCGGGACTATACATAGGCCCATTGGCAACCTCTGGTACTCGTACTTTCCCGGAGTAATGTAAGAGTTGTTCGAGTGAGGTGACAGCTCGATGTGATAGTATCCATGTTCAGGTCTAGACTAGTGCGTACTTGAATCCGTCTGAGTTCAAGAGCATGTCCTGTATTTTTGGGATAGGATAAGCTTCCGCTTAATCCTTTTGTTCAGTTCCCGGAAATCAGAGATGAATCACAGATCCTCTTTCTTGGGAATGATAAAGTTGGTGCCGCCCACTCGGAACGGTTTACCTTCTTGAGTACTCCTGCCTCGCAGAGACGTTCAACCTCCATCTTAAGAGGTTGTATGGAACCGTGGAATAGATAACCTGGCATGATAGGGTTTAGCATCAGGAGAAGTTCTATTGTAGTCGTCCATCTGCCACTTTCCAAAGTACCATCGAATAGGTCAGAGTACTTCGTCAGTAAGGAATGAAGCTGTTCCTTCTCTTTCGTGTTTAACTGATCTTGACTTTGGCAAACTGCCTCTTAAGTCAGCTTGTTCGTATTTGCATCAAGAATCTTCTTGAACGATCTGCACTGTCATCAACGTAGAAGGAAGAAAAAAGTTTCTTCTTCATTGGTATCGCTATCTTTCATAGGAATAGTATGCGCCGTCCCATTCCACTGACTTGGTAGTGAAATCGAACTTGAAACCTAAGTCAGAGAGAATCTCGACATTGATCATGTCATACGCCCCCAAGCTTTGGTGACGTGTATCCCACTCGATAATTCTATCTTCGTGGAATTCAGGAATCATGAATGCACTTTGCACTTGTGCTGGTGTTTAATTCTCCTGCAGGGTAGTCCACATCGTTTGGACGCCCCAAGATCTTCATGCGTAATTTCTTAGCATGAGTTTGAGCAATCAAGGTTCCAGATGCTCCTGTATCCAGTAAGCAACGGAGTGTAACGGGTTTTGGTTTCCCTTTTCTCGTCGTTAAATCTAACTAGACGATGGGTTTGAGGTCTCTTGTCTTGCGACGTTTACGAGGTGGTTGGCCACGGACGAGGTTAACGATGCTAAATAGATATCGAGGTCTAGTTGAGCAGCTTCTAGGCAATCATCTAATTTGCCTAGTGTTCATCAGTTGCAAACAATTCTTGTTTACTAGTTAGTGAGATATCTTCATCACTTGGTATGAGAAATCGGAACAGGGTTCCGTTGAGTCCCTTGCCTAATCCTAAGATAGAGAATTCTCCATCCAATGATTGAAATTGATAAGGAGGAGTGTCCTCATTGTCAGAGTTTTCTGATTTGCGCTTGGACAACATGGTTGCGAAGTCTTGCAAGTGGTGGCACGAGTATGGTCGATCTCGTGTTCTTCGCATTGTCGACGAGAGGGAAGAATGGGTTTGTCACGCAAATGTTTCTCGAAGTTGCGAATACGTCATGCTTTCCTTGAGCATCTTCATAGGTGAAGGAATAATTGGAGTAGCTGAAAGCTATTGTTTTGTTACAAAATTGCACTACGTCAAATGTATTGAATGATCTTTCGAGTTGTTTGTGTTTGAGAGAATGAAGTATAAGAGAGATTAGAAACACTACAGAAAACTAATCATAAGAGAGATCGTCATGCGAAGCTCATTGAAGTCTGGCTCTCCGCGGGAGGCTATAAAGTGTGGATAGATTAGGTGGTGGTAGTAATCCTCGTCTCTCCACGATACCAAACGGAAGTCGTGGAAGGTTTGTCCAGTGGATCTAGTAGCGTGTGATCAGTTACTCCACGCTGGCTAAATATCTAGAGGATGTTTCATCATCACCTAGTATGACTACGCGTGTCATTAGAACCCTGTCTCAGATGACTATTCACGAGAGACTCAGTCATGAAGTCGAACTCAAACCTATCTAGGATCGAGTCGCGAATAAGGCTAAGAGCGTGTATTGCAGGTATGGCAAGCTCAGGGCTGCCTACCACTCTGATGATGTCAAGCAAGAGTTGATCCACAGAGGTGTTGGCACTGAAGAACCTCATTGCTCTGAGGACTTTCACCATGAAGAAGAACAAACTAGGGACTGGAAGTGCTGAGGATCAAGGTTTTGCCAGAAATCATGAGGAGAAGTCAATGGTGAATCCTCTGTTGGTGTTCAGACCCATTTCTGCAAGTAAGTTTGTCATTGAGTAGTCATGTTTCCAATGGGCTCTCAATGACAAGGAGCCTTCCTTTGTGTCGCCACAGCCCAAATGCAACATTGCTAGGACATTTACTAGTGTGTGCCATTTGGCAAGAAAAATTGAGCTTTCTCTCTGACCATGGCATCTATGCTACTACTTCCAATTGGTGATAGCTGCGCATGCATGGTGGAGAGTTACAACTGTATGGTGTTCTATGTCAGTCTTAACATTCTACATAGCAACTGTTGCCATTATCTGCCATTGTCAGCATGTTTCTTTTATTTTGTTGTTCTTTTTGCCATAGCCGTTGCTTTTTTTGGTGTCAGACACGTCAGCGATTATGTACCAGGTCTACGCGCGCGGCGCGTAGAGGATTTCTGAGTACCAGAAAATCGATCAGTCTACGGGATCTGGGGGTCATAGAGTCGAGTCACATGTGTGCATACTAGCTACATGTAGCTACATGTATACATGTACCAGGTATCAGCACATGTACCAGTATGCAAAGAAGCCAGCCGTAGACTGGAAGATGTGCACAAGGACCTCAGCCTCGTAAAAACCGGAGGCAAGTTAATTAACCAACCAAAAGAGCTCCAACAGCCAACAGCCAACCTCGAAGCATGCATGCGTCATCCTTGGAGAAACGGTACGGAGCACAACTCACTTATCTCGAAGACATTTTCAGTAAAGAGAACATTTAGAGCAATAACACGATCTTTTCGCCCATTGTAGCTTCACAGCTCTTGACTACTAAATCTTGAAATCTTGTGTCGCCTACCGTCTACAGTGGTCAAAAGTTGGGAAAGTCGGTCTTTAATTAACACGTGTACTCCGAGTAGGGCCGGGGTGCTGCGGTGTTTCGGCAACTAGAACGTCAGAACGTTTTGGCTTCAAAGGCTTTTTCTCCAAGATGAGCTTATAGGCATCTCCATTGGTGTTTCGGGACAGAAGGTTGAAGGAGCTGTTGAAGGATTCAAAAGCTTTACTCTTGCGTAAGCTCTTGAGTACTATTATTAATTAATAGCATGTAGATAATAATAATATGTAGCTCGAGTAGGAATCCCTTTTAAAATAAGCTTCTCCTCGTTACTACATGTACAGCAGTGGCAGCAGCAGTGCATGTTTCCTTCGACCCACTCTCTCAAAGATAAGATTACACTCTTCTGCCAAGCAGACAAAATTGCCACACTTGTACCTTTGCTGTCCGTCAGATCTCAGGTATCAAGTAGACTAGACTATCTGCACTCTGCTGATCCATCCTACCGGCTGGTAGCAGATCTGACAGTGGACATAGGAACTACATTATGTCTGTGATTGTTGGTTGTCCCTGTTCTAGCAAGTATAATTTTTGGTGAAAGAATGATGAAGTAGACTATGTTAGAATAAATTAGCTGTTTTTTGTTTGCTTCTTGGTTCGTACCAGTAATTGGCACTCATCATGCAGCATCTCGAAGGGAAATCTGGGAATGTAGAGGTGGACTTGACACTTCTGGACACTGGGGATTGTTATCTTGATAATAAGTGAGAAGTGTTCACAAGAAACTGCCCTTCTTGCCCTTGGTCATCTGCGTTCGTTCGAGCGGAAGCCACGAGGCGCATAACGCATCCCAAGAGACATTGCTGGTGCCGACTACCGATACCACCACAAAAATCAACGCAAGAAACAAGCAACAAAAGTAAATTTACCACTGTAGAAGCCCTTCTCACGCTTCTAATAAAGTATATTACCAACTAGCTAGCTAGATTTCAAGTGCGATGAATCAGGAAGCAATTGACCCTGCGATAGCCGCTGCGGCAGCTCTGTGCCTCCAGGAAATGGATGACCGTGCCGAAAAGCTATCCTGCGTCGACAAAACAGCCTACCATCCACAACCGCATCATCATGCTGCCTGTCTGGTCCTAGAAGACTGTAATTGTGGCCACGGAGATCAACAGGGCGTGGTGGTACCCTCGAATGCACCTGCAACATCTTTGTCCACATCCGAAATGAAGAATGCATCAGCCAAAGTAACGATGCCTCTGGCGGTCGGATCTGTGTCCTCCTGCGTTGGTGTTCCCGCAGGTCGCGGCTATACCAAAAATGAGAAGAACAATTCTGTTGCCGACATTTCCCTCAGTGAAAGTCAAGATAACTCTATTCAGCCAGTGATTTTGTCGAGGCAGGACTGTATCAACCTTTCTAGCTTGCCCGGAGCTTATCCTGTGATTGGCATCAGCAGTCCTCGGCCAGAACTGGAAGAAGAGACGTCCAGCTCTCCAGGGGAAGATGATTTCTCGGTAGTACATTCTGTAACTGGCACTGAGAGACAGTTGACTTCAGTGGAAGGTCAACAATCATTGCCCAGTGCCGAGTTGGTGGATATAGAGAGTGCTCCTGAACAAATGCAGCAAGCTGTACCGGCCCCAAATAATGGTCAACTATGCGCGGCGCGAGGCAACTCTAGAAAGGAACCAAACAGACCTAGGATGCTAGTGATTGCTGCAGCAATTCTTGTCTTGGTAGTTGTTGCTGTGGCTGGGACCACAGTGGTAGCTGTGGAGAAGCAGGATTGCAGTGGGCAGGATGATGAAACTGCCATCTCATCCCAAAACGCTTCAGGAGGCACTGATGAGAGCCAAGAGCTCCAAACTACGATTGATCAGTACATCCTGACGCTTCTCCCCAGTGATACAATAGGCCAGATTGTTGCAGTGGATGCTCCCGATCAGCAAGCGTCTCTCGATGGCACCACACCACAAGCACAAGCCTATCAGTGGCTCTTGCAGGACCCTTTTGTCGAGGCATATTCTGATCAACGATTAATTCAGCGCTTCGCACTGGCCGTATTCTATTTTGCCACAGAGGGATCCCAATGGTTGGAGAGCACTCATTGGCTATCCCACTACCATCATGAGTGTCAGTGGCACTTTCACGACATTATCGATGAAAAGCGCTTTGACGTTGCCCAATACGTAGATCTTCCTGACCCCCGTGTTCCCTGCCCAGTTGATGGCAATGGCAATTCCAGTGAAAACCGCACATTTGAAATCTTGGAAGAGGTAGTGTTCCGGCATCTGTGGCTCCACACCAATAACTTGCGTGGAACCCTTCCTAGAGAGTTGTACCTGCTGACCAACCTACACAGCGTGGCTGCCTATTCCAATCGTCTGGAGGGGACTCTGGCCACAGAGATTGGTTACATGACCCAGCTTGAATTTTTGAGTCTGAATATGAATGTGAGTAAGAAGGCAATGTACTTGGGATACTGACCAGATGTCATCTCATCTTTCTCTTTCACCCCTTCAGGCTCTTTCAGGGACACTTCCTACTGAATTGGGATTGCTTTCTAGCCTCAAAGGTCTATTTGTTTTTTCGAATCCCAGACTCAAGGGATCAATCCCATCTGAACTTGGTTTGCTGCACAATATTAGGTTTGTGATGCTCTGGTACTGTGGATTGTCTGGAACCGTCCCTGCTGCGCTAGGACAAGCCACATCACTTGTTGAGCTATATTTGGGACACAATGTAGGTTCTTTTGTGTATGGTTGATGCCTTGTCCAATCTAGTCCCATACAAACCCCTTCTTCTTGATCACTTTTTCCAACAGCGACTAACAGGAACTGTTGCCACAGAGCTTGGTCAACTTGATGCTCTGAAACGTTTGGCGCTGATCAATAACAGGCTCACTGGGACAGTCCCTACAGAGTTGGGTAGGCTGTCAAACACGTTCACGCTGCATCTGAATAGAAACGTGAGTATCCATGGTTTGGCTTCCTGCGTTGCATGATTCCTCGGAGTAATCTCACCTTCCTAGTAATATCATCTCCGTTCGGGCACAACATTGGCATTGTCTCAGTCATTGTCTGGCACAATTCCCTCCGAGTTGGGGATGCTATCAGACATGTATGGTTTAAATTTGGATAGAAATGTAAGTGTTTCTGCATTCCCAGGTACCGGACAAACATTCAACCTCATTGATTCTCTTTCTTCCTTTTCTTCGCTAGATGCTGACCGGCTCAATCCCAAAAGAATTGGGTTTGTTGAACCACCAGGACGGAAACCCCTTTAAGGTTCTGAATCTTACTCAGAATATGCTATCAGGGACAGTTCCAGAAGTCCTCTGCACTGATATGGAATCAATGCAGTTTGACTGCATGGAGCAGCTTTGTGGATGTGAATGCCTTTGCTAACTGCTATCAGGGACAGTTCCAGAAGTCCTCTGCACTGATATGGAATCAATGCAGTTTGACTGCATGGAGCAGCTTTGTGGATGTGAATGCCTTTGCTAACTGCTATCAGGGACAGTTCCAGAAGTCCTCTGCACTGATATGGAATCAATGCAGTTTGATGCACGAAGCAGCTTTGTGGTTGTGACTGTATTTGCTAACTGTTATCAGGGACAGTTCCAGGAGTCCTCTGCTCTGATATGGAATCAATGCAGTTTGACTGCTCGGAGCAGCTTTGTGGTTGTGACTGCCTTTGCTAACTCAGCAGTTTTGCAGTTGATAGCATACCTCCCAATCAATGAAGCTGCCAATCATTTCATTTCAATTTTGCATTGCCCAGAAGATCTTGGCTCGAATACATACATACATACATACATGTTTCCATCTTTTTCACTTTCATTGTTTGGATGGATTGCTACGGTAGCCAGAATGCAAGCTGGCATCTCAAGTTTCATATGTAACTTTTCAAATGAAGAGCACCCGACGAGTTTTCGTCCATTTGTGCGGCTCCAGCTAGCTAGACGCGGCCATGAGGAAAGGTTGTGCAGTTTGTTGTCGTGATGTTGTGTCCCCTCTTCGTCCAATCGTGGACCTCCTCCAAGCTGTTCCGATAATGTTGTTTTTGACAGCTCTCCTGGCTAAATTACTTAAAGGTGGTGGGACGAAGGATCTTCCCATTTCCCATCCATCAGATCTCACAGCACAACTTTCGTCCCATTGTCCATTTTCAAAAGACGAAAGAATACAGCACCATGAGCTTAATTAGCATCCTCTGCAGCAGGGTCCTGCCCGCCTTGATCCTCGTCTTGGCCTTGATTGTTGGATGGTTTGCCAGCCATGAAATCCCCATGGGGACATTCTTTGCCACGGTAATCCCCCTGGTGCAATACCACCTTCCTGCCACCATTGTAGGCCATGGCAAAATGAAGGGCACCCCTGAAGTGCCTGACGATATGTTACCCCAGCCTCGGCTCGAAAAAGAAACGTTTCTGGAGCTACCCAATGGCGACCAGATGCCACAAAACGGAATCGGAATGTGTTGCCGCTACTCAGCCTATGACAACGTGTTGGTCGAAAGAACTACCTTGTGGTATCTCCTGCAAGGTGGCAGGCACATTGATACCGCACATTTGTACCTCAACCACAAGCCTATTGGAAAAGCCATTAAGGAGGCCGTCAAGAGAGGAGTTCCTCGCTCGGAGATCTTCATTACGACCAAGATTTTCCCCACTCATATTGGATACGAATCTACGCTCAAAACGGCTCCCAAATACCTCGAAGAATTGGGCGTCGACTATATCGATTTGGTGTTGGTCCATTTCCCTGTTCTATTTCCGCCCTACATTACCACCAACGATTGCATCAAGCGAGGCATCTCCGCCACCGAATGTCGACAAGAAACCTGGAAGGCCCTCTCGGAATTACGGGAGAAAGGCTTGTTCCGAAACATTGGCGTCTCAAATTTTGCTGTCAAACACTTGGAGGAATTGGAGGGGGTCGGTGCTCCCATTGCCAACAACCAAATTCAGTACAGTCCCTTTACGGATCCCTCGGTGCAAGAAACATTCCAGTATTGCGCCAAAAACAACATTACCATCACAGCTTATTCTCCCTTGGGAGGCATGATGGAGAAGGACAAGGCGTTTGCCTATTCGGTATTGGAAGAGATTGCTACCCGCCATGATCGACCCGTTTCACAGATTATGCTCCGATGGGCCATGCAGTGTGGCGCTGCTGTCATTCCAGGAACTGGGAATCCAAAACATATGCGACAAAACTTGGATATTTACAACTTTGAGCTGTCTCGAGAAGAAATGGCGACCATTGATAATCTCAAGCATGGAAAGCACGCTGAAAAATTCATGCACATTGACGTGAGGGCATTCGATTAGAAACGTTAAAAAGTGGATGCAATTAACTTTAGAGGAATGGGCACATGGGCACATTACATGTAACTCAAAGCATTGAATAATAATCCAAGGCAAAACAACTTCGATACATTAATGTTTCTCACGGTTTGCTCCAAACACGTTGGCCAGGGCCTCCTCTCCTCTGAATTCGTTGGATCTTGAATAAGTTTGGCGTCTCCACCTGACGCATTCCCTCGTATGAGCTTGGCTCTCCACTAGCTTCCTCTAAAAAAGCAATTTCGAAGCTGCACGATACTACTTTTAATAAAACCAGGTGTTTTGTGCTCGCAAAAGAATGAACCTGGTTCAAAGCATTGTCATACTGCCTGGCTATGACATGGCATACCGGTAGCTGGTGGCCGAGCCGCAGTTGCGGCATCACGGGCCTCCTTGCTGGTGTGGGTGATGCCCAGATTGTCGGCAAAGTGTGACTCACTCAATTGATTGTTCGATTGACTACCGGTATTAAGTACCGGTGCCTGGTACCAGGTACAGCGTACATTGTAACTGGAGCATTCCCGCAACAGGCCACGAGTCACTCGTTGACTCCCGTGACAACCAAACTAAACGGCACGAATGAAGATTCTCAGGTTCGTACGATAGATAGATACGGCACCGGAGGGTTATCCTCTTGGGTACCAAATAGGCTCACAAAAATCAACACAAGCATCTTCCAAAAGACAATAACAATAATCATGAGCATCACAAGCAGCGAGAACAGCCCAAGTAATGCCAACCAGCAGGGACAAAAGTCAGGAACTTGGCAACAGGTCAAGACCGTCATGCGCAATTGCAAGTCGCGTACGGCTTATGCCTCCAAAAACACACAGGAAGGAATCAAAATCCAGCAGCTCCAGATGAGTATTGCGGCTCGCAAGAAGTCCTTTGGGATGGAGTACATGGATCTTATGCTGGAGAAGGATGCGTCTCCAGAGGAACTACAAGCTTGCGCCGACGAGGCCGCTACCGAGATCAGTCAACTCGTAGCCCAGTTGAATGCCTGCCAAGAGCACATTGCTTTGAATAAGGAAAAGTTGGAGAGAAAGATTGCTACCCGAAAGGGAGTTGTCAACCACACTCAACCCGAAATCCACGTGACTCCTTCCGAGGATTCTGGTGCACCAGAAACAGCACCTACCTCCAATGAAGAGACCGTCGCGGAGAACAGTAATGATATTTTCAGCCGTCGAAATGTTGTTGCTGAGCAGGAGAGTGATACCATGCCGGCTGCCGAGCGCGAACGTGAGGTGGAGCCCACAGATGAGCGTGAGATGCCTGCAGACGATGATGATGAGCCTGAGATTGAGATGGGTCCTTTTGATGAAGCTCCCTCCAGTCCTACTACTGGTACCAACGAGGTACGCCCCACCCCCAGTGCCCCGTTTGAAGAGGAAATCAACGTCCCAGAGGCGACACCCGTTGCCCGCGCCACCATTGCCGAATTGCCACCCTACGAAGCCAGGATCTATGACTTGGACTAAAGATAGATGAGCTAGCAGAACTTTAAAATTAACTAATAGGTCAATCAGGTACCGGTACATCATAAGGGTGTCTTCTCTTGTGACTGAAGTAGACCCAATGAAGTTGAAGAAAAGCGAGCCTGAAATCGATTGGATGTGACTTGCTTTAATGGATTTGTCAGTACCGTACACAAATGGGGTTTTGAATCGGTAGATTATCTACTTGAACTTTAGATGAGCTCTATCTAGGAGCGAGACTTTAAAATTAACTAGCTCAATCAGGTACTGCTTGTGCAAGCTTGCTAGCTAGCTATCCGTAGATAGTTAGTTTCCCTACTAAAATACTCTATACACGTACCCCCCATTACTTCGTTGTTGAGTGGAGTCACCGTGACCCTCCAAGAGATCCGATGCTTCCGTACGTGAAGCCTACATGATGTGAAAGCAAATTGACCGGCTCTCACAGGCATTGCTTCATGTATTTACCACATGCATCTCTTAAATCTAAGCCTTTCCTTTTCTCCAAGAGCGAGGGGCTACGGTATATATACAGTAGTATCGTACCATTATGACTCTATTTTGGTGTCAGGTAGCAGAGCAATTAAATCTTATAGACGACTGCAGCAACAGCGAACAAGGATAAACATTCAATGGTTATGACTGTCTCTTTTGCACGACTTCTACTCTGATCTCGGCATTGGCGGCTTTTAGCGCTCTCGGAACCAGAGTTGCAGCCTGCCACCAAGCGATCTTTGATCGTCATACAGTCGTAGTGTCAACTGTCAAGCTACTACTAACTAATACTTACCGTAAACCTAAGGGACACAAGAGAAAGCACTGAAGCCTTGCGAGCAGAGTGACCAATCACAGCTACAATAGAGGATAAGGAAGAGAGAGAGAGAAAGCAGTCTCACCAGTACCATCTTGCTGATCGGACACACAAAGCTGCTGGTTAAGGTTGCACATACATACCACAAACACAGGACCTTCAATCCGTCCGGGAAAGCAGCACTGCTTATCTTTTCTATTGGCATCCATCGATCTTGCATCTTTGCTATTGGCGTCCATCCATCCATCCATCCATCCACAACACAGTACGTGAATCCAGCAAGCCAGTCATCAACAGCAAGGGGCTCAAGGAGGGACCAGGCAATCAATCATCATGGCTTCTGGGTCATACCTAACCTCGGCGCAGCAGACCCGAAATTCCCGGGGTGATCGCATATTACCGAGAACAGCATCAGGCAACAACAATAGCAGCAGCAGCAGCAGACGAATGGTTCATAACCCCGGGGGTAGCCAACGTTCGTTATCTCCCATTAATCGACGACAAATCACCATGGGATCCTCACAGCAGCTGCAGGGTAGCTACCGCGGCATGAAACGAACACAGACGGCCCCTGTACCCCCCAAGACGAGCCATACGGGTCCTCCTACTGCTGCTGCCCCGACAATGAGACGCAATCAAACCGCTCCCATTCATCATACTACTGCTACAAACACGAAACCCAAACCACGCCGTCTGCTCGTCGATTATTCCAAGAAACGAGCCAATTTGACGCAGGGACGACAGACCCAATCGGAGCGCACCTTGCTACCCCCGAGAACCAAGTCGTTGGACCAGCTGCCAGACAACCGAGGCTCCTTTGCTACAGCCCATTCCTATCATGATCGTCCCAATTCCGATCGAAATTTAGCGGCTACTGCCAGTTCGGCTACTGCTGGTCCCACTAATATTCCAAGGGGTGTGTTGAATCGCCACAATACCACGGGCATGTCACGATCGCAAAGTGCACGAGAAGTGGTAGATTGGCACGTTTTAAATTCCACGTTGGACTGGGAAAAAGAAGAAGAGAAAACCCGGCAATCCATTGCTTCACAGCACGCTTCTTCGAATACCCGGAGAGGGAGACGACGAATACAACATCAGCAGCCACAACAGCAAGAGAGCAGTAGCTGCTCCAATCTGCTACGCAAGTCATTCTTGACCAAACCATTGGGAACCAGTTCCAGTCATTTACAAGGGACCGAGTTTGAATTTACACCCTCCTTTGGTGGGAATAATAGTTATGATGATGACAATGATCAACGTGGAAGGCAGCAACACAATCATCAGACCATTGCCATTTCCCGAAGAGCTTCCCTTTCTCCCAAGAGAAAGAATGTCAGTCCCAAACTGGCAGAACAACGCAAAAAATCCATCATGATTAGTCCCCAACAAAGGAAAAATGGATTGGCTACATCGCCAGCGCTCATGGACGACGAATCCATGCGATTGGGAGATGTCTTTGGGAGTAGCAGTCGCATGGATAATAGTAGCAGTAATGACGGCAACAGCCGGCGTCGGCAACAAGAACCACAAGAAGAAGATGAACCCGCCGATGATTTCTTTTCACGCTTGGACAAGGAAGCTCAAATGCCCAATCACGTGCAACCATTGAATCAAGAACGACTCTATCGCAGCATGTCCGCATTGGCCAACACGTTGGTGGTTCCACCCAAACTAGTGTCATTAGAGCAACAACAACCAAGAGACAGCAATGTCAGTGTCCTTTCCACCGCTTCTTATTTGAAAGACGACAGTCATGATGAGGAAGATGACCAGCAACTTCAACGAAATGGCAGCCACAATAGCAACATGGATGCTTCCGTCGGTGATGATGTCAGTGTCGCCAGTGTTGGGAGCTTGTCGTTTCGCAGAACGTCAGGGGACAAGAATAAAAGAAATGGGAGTCATCATTTGAAGGGATCACTGGCGGGGTTGCCGTCGTGGGATGGAGATTTTGACAATTCACTGTCTTCTTCCTTTTCGTCTCATTGGGAACCCATGTCGGACATGTCGTCGGTCGTGAGTAATAATAATAATGAAATGGAAAAGAACCATTCTCGACGATCACAACAGCAACAACAATCCAATAATACTCCCGGATCTTCCCCGACCAAGCCGCGAACGTTGGCGTCTTCCCCCACGAAGCAGCGTAACTCAGGCGCATCGCCCACTGGAAACAACAAGCAACGTTCCTCGGCTGCTTCCAGAAAAATGAGAGTGTCGAACAAGGCAGCAGCGTCTACAGCTCTAGGAATTAAAGAAGATGAGGAGGACGACGAGGAAGAGGATCTCCTTTTTTTGCCCAAATCGATGCAACCAGCACGATCGCCGCTGGATGATTCTTCGAGCAACAACAAGAGAGGTGGCAGGTCTCGATCTTCTGCAAATAGTTAGTGTGCAAGATGAGACGTTACATTTGCTGGCAAACAAGCAATCAAGTAGGAATGATCACGACGATGACGCATCAATTTCCAGTGGACAAATCACGAGGAGAGACGTGCTTAGTGACGACCCTTCCACCGCCCCAGCTGTCTACCATCTCCGCGTATCGTATGAGCATGGGGAATGATCCGTTGCCATCTCGGCAGTCTGCCAACAATCTACGACGTCATCATTCGGGTGGAGGAGATCGCCTCAACCGTTCCACAACTCACTTGAGGCGCACCCGAAGCAACGACGAAGACAAGATGAATCGCAGTTTCACCAGTGATCGCCAATCAATGTGTTCTTTGGAACCACAGGAATATAGGACAAGCACAAATGGGCCATACAACCTTCCGTTTTGGCCTGAGCATCGCGGGCAGTGGGACATGAAGTGGCTTGAGGCGCCTCTACCAAAAACGCATTTGAAGAAGAGTGGAGCTATCCAGCTGCAGTTTGGATGCTTCTTTATATTGCGTCGAACACTCGCCCAGACCTCACATTTAGTGTGCACCAGGTAGCACGATTCAGTCACATCCCAGGCATTCCCATGCCCATCAGCCACAATTAAACGTATCATTCGGTATTGATTGGCACAAGTGACAAAGGCATTTGTTTTAGCCCTAAACTTGATCAGGGACTTGACTGTTGGGTCGATGTGCTTCGCCGGATTGTATGGATATGAGGATGAACAGGATCCTGGTGTCCGTAAGTCTCGCACTGGATTTGTCCTGCTCTGTTTGGTGCCCAATTATCTGGTCCAGCAAGCTACAGACTGATATTACTTTGAGCTCCCATGCTGTGAGTATGTTGCTTTCAGCATGTCAATGGGAGCTGCTTCCTTATGCGAGCTTTGCTCAAAAAAATTGGTAGCAACTGAATATGCCGTAATTATGAAGTACCGTGCGCTCTACAGTGTTAAGACAACCAAGGTTGCTTGTCTCTTGGGAATGTTCCAAAATGTCTGCGCGCAACAAGTATTTGGCATTGAAGTACCACTTCTTCAGTCCAATATCGGGAGTCGAAGGGCATGTGGCTAGTATATTCCGACTTCTGGAACAACGCCGACATTTTACTAAGGTCTTCCAGCTCCACAGTTTGCTGTCATTCGGAACTCCTCATGGGATGGTAATTTACCTCAGCACCTTGCTGGACTCTCTCCTATCGTTTCTTGCTCACTTCATTTCAGCTGTAAGGAGTGCGACGGGATACAGCTTACATTCAGCTTTACACTTTAAATTGCAGGCTATTCTAGAAAATCACATAACTGCTCACTTATTTGGAAATACACACCTTACATCTCTTAGATCGTTTAGATTAGACAATCCCAAGACAATGGTATTGCGCACACCTTGCCATCAGGGGTGGGAATAAGGCTGACTTCCTTCTTGGCTTCTCCGGTGATCAGTAGGTTGGCCGATGGAGGGATGGCTGAGTGTGTACTGGTGTCTTGATGATGTGGGCCTAATAGGTATGGGCTGATAGGCTGCTGAAGCACAGGTTGTGTAGTTGGTATCTCACTGAATAGGGTTTTGGTGGGATGCCGTGATTGATGGTATGATTGTGTTTGGTTGGGGTATACCTCCCCATTGAGGCCCATACTTGGTGATGGTATCCACCTCCAGCAGGGAAGTGGCAACATCCATGCAACTTGGGTTGGGATGGATGACAAGAGGTCCTCAACATCACCCAACAAACTCTGTTCAAACTGCCTGGTTCTGAACGGTCCTCCTAGCCTTAATCTCGGGCTAGGCTTGTGTGATAAAACAGGTGTGCAGGGAGTGGAGTAATAAGGTGGATGTGATGAACCAAGCTGATTGGTATTTGGCCTTGTGGTGGGGCAAGGGAGCTTGTTCATTTGTTTCATTTTTTCAATGCTATTGCCAGTTGTGGCTGATCATTGAAAGGGTAACACCTTGGTTGGCTGTGGGGAAGGAGTCACAATGGGACCCTGACTGGTAGGCTACAGGGGGTCCACAGGTGTCCTTCCCTGTGATGGAACTGGATGTTGGGTCCTGCAGTGGTGGACTGTTGTGTTACCAGTGCTATTGCTAGGTGCTGGTGGTGTAACACCATGGCAGGCTGGGCCTGTTGTTGTTGCTTCTTCTTCTTGCGACCATGGTTGTTGGTGCGCTGGCTGAGTGTGGTGTTTAGAGTGTTGTGTGTGTGGCCTGGGACACACTGTCACAGAAATCCAAAGGTGACTTGAGCTTGCACTGCTAGTCAATGACTAAACAGAGGTTGCTTGACACACTGATACCCTTGGAATCCTTCGAAACCAACTGGAAGGTGCTCTCGTGGTGTTGCGAGTTACCCTTGGAAGTCACTCGTAACAGTGGATAGATCCGTATCTTCCCACAGAGTTCGGAATATCCACGAAATGTGAGGCCTTGGATCTTAGGCTCGGCTTGCTTTCGAACAGAGGTACGGTGTCTTGTGAGTACCGGTGTGTGTTTCCAGTATCCTCCAAGCACGACTGAAAATCGTTTTCGTACGGATCGACAATGGAGATCATGCCTGTCCTTCCACTTCGGCGCCGTAACAAGCGATTAACAAGAAAATGGCTGGTGTATCGTCTCAAGCACCCCAGGTTAGTAGGTGGACCAGTTTATTAATCGTCGCGATTCCGTTTTCGGTCCGATGGTTGTTGTGTGAGATTTCCTTGTTGGGGAGTGTCGATGCCTTTCGACTCGACGCCGCCGTAAAAGCGATAGAGATACAGTGTACTGTAGCGGTACCTTGACTTAGTGGATTCCACCACGGTTTACTTGAATCGGTCGGATTCGAGTTTTCGTCGTTCGCCGTGTCGGCAGGCTGTTTGCGACGGAATTCCTTCCTCTTCTCTTTCTTCACTCGATTTCCACACTGTAAGCCACTCTTGTGCGTGCTTATGCGGCTCTGTTAATCCTATGAATCCAGGTAGGAACTCAGCTGGTAGGTGCACAAGAGCTGGGAGGAGAGCCCTGTTTGGTGGGGATCTCCTTCCACTGGCGCTGGAAAGGCAGCCACAAGGCTGGCAGCCAATGCTATTCAATCACTGTGGAAGCAATGATTGAACAGTCTAATTGCTCAAATACCCTGGCACTGGCCATAACAGGATCCTGTCTACTGCAGAGCTCTACTTGTGCTGTTGGTCTGTATCTGGTCAACTACTTCTTCATTACTTCTTTAAACTATATATGAACACAAACTCTGATTTTGCGTGGAACTCCATCCTCCAGCCATGCAGGATACAGATCCATGCATCTCTTTTGGCTGGTATTGACCAAGCTATCTTTCTAGATAGGTATGGCTGAGGAATGCATCATCCTTCCTTCAGAGGAACTCTATGTCCTCTACAGCTGTTCCTATCTTGTCTGATGGTGACACAGCTCATTGTACTGAAAGAGTGTACAGATGCAGCAGCGATCTTTCCACCAGACTGAGCCAGCACAGCTGCGCCGCACCCATAATATGGCTCCTATGGCATAATCTCATCGCTGTAGACGACGCTGATCTTGTTCTTTTTCATTACGTGTTTTCACCATGGTTGGGGTTTGGAACTCAGATGAAGGACGGTGCTGGTGTGCAGGGCTTTGTCGTTCACGGCGTTGTTGCTGCTTGAAATTAGCCAAGGAGTCAAAAGTGTTTCGTTGAGACTCAGGACGGGCTTCAGCTTCGTCTTGGTTTTGTGCTCTTGAACTTGAGGTTTTGCTTCTTCTCTTTCCACTCTGAGCCGGCCTAGAAGGATGGGATGCTCTTGCCGGTGCTTTTGGTGGGAGATTCTCTTTGTCCGCTTCAAATTCGATCAGCTCAAATGGGTCGTTATCCGTGATTGCAGCAAACTGACCTTGACCAAATCCACCCAAATGAGAGTCTGGTAGCCGTGTTAATGAAGGCAACGGATGCTTGTTGAGGAGATGGTCGTCTTGGTCTTGCTCGGTACTATAGAAACCTCCACCAAAATCAGTCTGAAGTCCTTCCTCTGTTGATTCAAAACATCGAAGAGGAAAAATAATGAGAGCGGAGGGTAAGATCGACTATGCAAAGCATCAATCCAAGAGTGCAAGTAGACAACGTTGATACTCTCATAGTGTATCCCGTCTTGAATATAGACAATCGTGTGTGTCTCCATTGTCAACGTTTTTTTGGATCGATACTCAATGCAAAGAGGGGCTTACCGGTACTACTGAAATTGTCATACTCTTCCACTAAGCTTGGCATCGTGTAATTGATCAAGAGGTGCAACGTTTTGTTGGAATTACGTTATGGAATGATTAAGGAGCGTGACAAACGGATCCAAAATCTATCGGATTTTGTCCAATTGAACATAACTCCGAGCACACCCAGTCAATTTAAACTTCAAATTACTTAAGAAAAGAGCCAAGGAGTATCCGAAGCTATGGTACGGGCAGGCGACTTGTAATCGTGGAAGACTCACTTTTTCGGTTTTGGGCTAGTCCCGTGATCGTTAAGTGAAGGCACAATTTGGCGTTGAGGTTAAATCTTACGTGTCATGATTGTGTCTCAGAAGTTAAGGAGGTACCACCCGCTTTTACTCCCGAGTTTGTTTTGGTCAGTCCACAGTGGATACGTAAAATAGACATCCATGTTGAAGTGTACTCCATGGCCACGTACTTTCCCTCATGCGATTGTAGCTAGTTTGCCGCCAGATGGAATCCTTCTTTTGTGGAATTCTTTATTTTAGCTGGCGACCATGGCCAATTTGTTCTCCATAAAGTAAACAACGGCAAGATATGGATGTTGCATCAGGAGAGGAAGGAACTGAAACCTCTACAGACAACCCACAGATTGTAACTCCGGCAGTGGTAGGAGGAGATGATTCAACTCCGGTATTGAGAGAAAGTCGCCGTCAGAGAGGAGTTAAACCAATTTTGCCTTGTTTTTCCATCAGTGAGAACAAGGCAACAAGCAACTATCAGAGAGAAATCAACAAGTTAGCAGCAGGCAACAGGAAGGACATTACATCGAAGTTGCCTCACTGGGACCATTCCAAGTTGAACATGGGAGCACCGAAGAGGAGGGAACAGCCTCAACCAACTCCCTCTCCAATAATCGACAATGTAGCCACTGCCCTTTCTCCACTTGCTGTTCCGGAGGAT